CTTTATTAATTATTGTTTATGGTCCGATCTATGCAAAATGAACTGACTATGTCTTGAGGTCTTGCAGTGGTATGCTTGGGTTTAGTTTTAATTTTATTGATTATAGGATCCCAAACAGGTGGTAGGACAATCCCTTGTCCCATAGATAGCCCCATAAGAGAGGATACTTGCTACAGTTGCCACGCTTCGCAGACGGGTGGGCAACGTCAATATTTTTATTATTTTGAGTTGTTATCAGAAATGTTGCTACCGAGTCACAGTTTTCCTCTGTAGTCCTCACGACACCCGCGGAATGATATGGAGCAGTAACCAGCGGATTCTCCGCCACTAAACAGCGAATATTTAATGAAAATGCTGAAATAAATATTTAACAAATTAATTATTATTTTATATTTTTCATTTGATTTGAGTTCGTAATACTAAGCGATATGTTAGTCCCGTTTTATCAAGTAGATTTTTCTGCAATTTTTTTTTTTAAATACAACTTATATAGGTACTATAAAATGACGACATAATTAAGATATTATTAGTGACCATAACTAAGAGGAGGAAGAGAGAGGAGTTAAAGAGACAAGTAGTGTTCCTTAATTTGTTTCTTGAACACATTTAAAGATTGAGCACTTTTAACGGACTGGGGTAAGGAGTTCCAGAGTCTTACTCCAAGAACAGCAAAAGATTTATCATAAAATGTCGAGAAGTGTACAGGACATTGGAGCGAAAGGTTTTCTTTGGACTGTAAGAAAAAATCGTGATAAGAGCTACGAAATTTAAAACGTTTTTTTAGATAGTAAAATACGCAAATCGGCAATGGAAAGCAGCCTTGAAGATGCGAAACATTTGCGATTGACAATCCGCCTGCAAAGCGTGATGAATTACGAATGGTTAAATCCTCTCTATGGGTAAAGAAAAAATTATATTTATTACAGAAGAAAAAATTATATTATATATCAGCCATCCGTAGCTGGAAGTTATATAAATTGATTACCTAGACGTGTTAAAAATACGAATAGATAAGCAAGGGAATGTCATCAGGGAATGTATCACCATATAACAGCAGCCGAATGCGACTGTGTTTTGTAAGATAAGAGAATGACAAGACCCCGTTTTACTGGTAACTGGGCATTTCTCCTCAGTCATGTAATAGTCCTCAGGTGTATCCTTAGTTTAGTTTAGTCAACCTCCATTTTAATTTTTAATCGAGGATAGATGTAGGTGTTTTTGGGCCACTATGTCTACTTTCCCTTAAGATCAAGTGGACTGTGCGCCCGTGCCCGTTCGTCACCTTTTTGTAAAGAAGGAAAAATCTTTAAATTAGTTGATAATTATCGGACTTGAATTGCGAAAGTATGCGGATGTAAAACCATAAGAATTAACACTTCTTCGAAACTGATATACGACAATGGTCATATATTTGGTATTAAATTCTGGATATATTTTCAAATCAAAACTTCGAGAATGATTATGAATTGAATGTGCACTTACCTGTTCCTTTCTTATTATGATTTTAAGAGAAACATACATATGAAAGTTATCACTTCTAACAATTCTATATCAACCACCGTGAAATATATGTGACGTATAATTGTAATCTCGGCGGAGCGAGATAACAATCAATCTCAGTAAATAAGAACGGCTTAACCGATGACGTCTTGTACGCGAAGCCTACCGGTACTTACGAGTATATAGACGACTGTCGATATATTATTTGGTTATGTTATTAATTTATTGAACCGTATTTTATTTACGCTTAGTATTTGCTTACATTTTATTGTGCATTGCTTTTAGGAATAAACATTAATCAGTTGCTTATCACGATGTACAACGTGTCAACCCTTCGGGTGTCGTAAGAGGTGACAGCGGACAACTGAAACAGGAGATGGGCAGCAGCATCTTTCTGAAAACAGCGCTTAAATAATTTAAAAAAAACTGCTGTGTACAACCCATCTGGCAAGCGCGTTATGGAAAATATAGGTCTAGAATTTAATCTAGGCGGAGGCAGAGGTAGAACAGGAGGAATATATATCTCCACATAAATTGCATTATAAAGATTTTTTTTACCATTTTTTAAACACTACGAACTGCCAAAGCCCATTGCTAAACTTAGACCTCCTCATAAGCGAAGGGATCAAATCATAAGGAGAATATTTGCCACAGTTGCAACATTGGCAACCGCGGTTTTATTTCTAGTTGTTATTAAGAAGGCGCTGCTACTGGTTTGTTTATCTCTGTCACCTCTTGCGTCACCACGGGACGATATGAGTAGTGGGTATTGTCACACCGCTGCTGTACCAGCTTATTGGCTCGATACCAGTGGAAGTAAGGACTGTATGATAATTAAAGTTTTAAGTTTTAGTTATTTTAATATAGTTCTTTAATGTTCGATATATTTTAATGTAACAGTTTTCCAATTCAGAATATATAGCAAGATCAGTGAACAGTAAAAGGCAAAAAGATATGTTTTTAAATTTTTTGCAGCATTTTTGGAACACTGTACTAATAATGTTTCTTCGATGAGAAAGCCGTGACTGAGTAACCCGTAGTACGTAGTACTATTATTTATTCTGTGTACTATTATTTATTCTGTGCCCGTAGTTAGTGTTTATCAAAATTTATAATTTTTTTTTTTTTACTATTAAATTTTTTTTTTTCGCCCGTCCCCCCGGGTGGTGGGGCGCACGCGAAAAAATAGATGATTATTAAATTTTGAGTAAAAATTGGTACTTTTATTTTGTATGGAAGTTAAAATTCTTAACACACACGCTTCAATAAATATATTTCTGAAAGATTTTTGGGACAAGGAGATGTTATTTTTTACGTGATAAATTTCATTGCTGCTGGAGGGAGTAGAACCCAAGATGCCCGCGTATTGTGGAATTTACAGCGAGCGCTTAGCCCACGTGCCACCACATCTCATTATATTCTTATATGTAATATGCCTATATGTATTTACATATATTAGTACAAAACTCAATCAATATAATAACATAGATACTCTAGCAGCGTTTTCCTTATAATTTTATCTTTCATACAAAGGAAGTACTTAATTTTAACCATAATTTTGTCATTTTAATTGAATAATATAGGTGGATTTTTTTGAACCGTTTTATTAAAATAAATGTATGAATTGACAATCAATTGAAACAAGGGATCATGAATGTTTTGTAACTCACTTATCTTGTATGATTGAACTCCCCGGTTGCAGCGCATTTCTACCAAGTTGGGTGACAATATTTAATACATTACATTATTTTTGTCTATATGATTACCTAAAATATTTAAATTTTAACAAAAATATCTTTGCTTGTACGTGACTAAAGACGTGATCGCGGTATTACTAAATTTATTCAAAATATAATTATTGTTGGTAGAGCACTAATGCCTCAAACAAAGATGACAAGATGAAATATTAAAGGGTAGGATATTTTTCCACTTTGTTAATAAATATTTCGAAAGAAGTAGTCTTTATATTTGTAGTGAAAGAATAATAACTATTAAGTAATTATTGTTAGAGTTAATGAAATATTACATTATTTCACTTAATATATCACTATTAAAAATAACTCATTGCAGTTACTGAGCCTTGTAAGACGCAAGATCTATCGATCAGTAGATATAGAAGACTAACTTTTAAGTTTTTCTATATTAATAAAATGAAAGGAATCATCACATTCTTGGCTCTGTTCATCATACCTAGAATGATAACGATTTTTTCAAATTCAAAACCCGAGGCATAGTGTTATGAGCTATCAGATAGGTTGTGGGATTAACCTTATTGCTAATTAGTTAGGAGCCATCTCTCTTTTGTAGGAATTTTTGACTAACAACTTTTGAACCATTGCTTAAAATGTGACGTTCAAGTAAAACCAGGTCTTCAGGTACGTAAATTACTCCTTCTTGTCGCAATCTGTTATTAGTTGACTTTCGTATATCTTTATAAAGTTTATTGTACTCTTTTGCGAAATTAAGTGTCTCATTTAGCTTAAGCAAATATTTTACAATTTGGGGAACATCATTTTCTGTTTACACAGTTACTTTAAAAAACTTCATTACCTCTTTTTACCACTCTTAGGATTGGACTTTTTTTAAATTGATATCGACGGATAAAAGGTAATAAGCGACATTTTGGTCTAAAATGAGTCTTGAATGCCAAGCTACTTAAAATTTTCCACTTTTTTCGAATGCACTTACTACTATGGCTCTACAATGACTTTTTTGTTGCTTATACTCAAGCAAAAAATTGCGTTTACGAAGTGTCATTTCGGTATAACCGACCGAGTTTTAGGCCTTTTTTTACCCTTAAGGCGCTTTTACCCCTGTAAAAATAGCATCACTTCTGGTTTAAAGTCGGTTATGTATTTTTACTTCTCACTGGTGTATGGATTCTGGTCGCATACTGCTCTTTATCATTAGCACCTGTATTGAAAGTTGGAACTAATGCCTCTTTACCTTTGTCGTCACAAATATTAAGCGTCGGTTATATCTTACTACCATTTACAAGTTTACCGTTCAGTTTTCGCTTATACACAATTACTAAAATCTAATTTAATATTGAACAGTCGGTTATACCTTACTACTATTTACAAGTTTACCATACAGTTGTCGCTAATACACAATTACTAGAATCAAATTTGATATTGAAATGTCGGTTATACCCTACTACCATTTACTATTTTAATACAACTCTGTCGTTTATACCGTATTACTTTACAGTGATCATTTATTAATTGGTGCTTACGCCAATTTGTGTCACTTTGTTATAATGAAGTAGCTGTTTAGCAAGTCGCTTATTCCAAAATCAGTCGATTGCGTGCAGTGACGGCGAGAGCATGCGCGCTTGCGCATAATTTTTTCGTGAAAAGTGTGCCAAACGTCCTGTTAACGGTATGTTATTTATTTTTCTAACCTGTTTGGTATTGAATTAAGTACTTATGATTGATTACATACTAAGTAGGTACCTATAACTGATATTTATTATTTTGAATGTATTGTTTTAGGTTAAAATGGAAAGAAAAGGTCGAAAAAGAGATATTCTGGAAATGGCTCTCAAAACATCGGATATACGAAACCAGAAAAAATGTCGCAAGAGCCTTCTTTCTGAATTTAATAAGGTAAATAATTTATTGTTTTGTATTTTTGTTGTTGAACATCAAATATAGTTTGTCTCTCATGTATATAGTTATCTATATCTGTGTGTTGGGCTTAAGATGTTTAATGATTTTAGTACCGTGGCATCCTCTGTGGAAAACAAGAGTTCTATACTTAATTTTTATGACATAAATGAAGTATCCAGATATTGTATGAACATTTAGGTAAAAAAAACTTGCCTATATAGCTAAATATTTTAACTTTCTTATTAAAGACTTTTATGAGACTATTAAAAATATATTTTTATATTCTTTCGTAAAAGTAGAAGTTAGAGACTTAAAATTAACAATAAAGCTAGTTGTACGCCACTGCCTAGAAACGGTTTAAGACATTTATTTCACATTTCCTTCACTTAACATGTTAATACTAAATACAGGAACTTATGAAGAACGGTAGATACGCGTAAATAAAGTATGTAGTAAATTGTAGATGCGCAAGTATTTTTTTACAGTGCTGTGAGTAACAAGAAAAAATGAGTGTATTGAAAAAATGTGTGTGTATTACAGAAAGGATATTGCGATTTCTTATTATGAGCACAGGAACTACATTAAACGTATTATAAATACACATTACATGAAGGCACACTCGTGCACATTCACACCACTATATAGTTATTTTATTTTACCTACCTACCTTTTTTCCAGAAGTCTGCCATCCTCACGAGCTCCCCGCCGCCCCCGTACGCTGCGTGTGCCATCCTTACAAGCCCTGCTCAGAACCCTGCGCCTGCCATTCTCATAAGCTCTGCGCCGGATGCTGCAACTGCCATCCTTACGAGCTCCGAGCCCAACGCTGCATCTGCCATCCTCACGAGTCCTACTATAGATGCTGCGTCTGCCATCCTCACGAGCTACACGAACGACGCTGCGTCTGCCGTCTTCACCAGCCCTGCTACAGATTCTGCATCTGCCACTCTCACGAGCTCCGCACCTGATGCTGCGTCAGCCGTCCTCAAGAGCCCTGCTACAGATGCTGCGTCCGCCGTCCTTACCAGCCTTGCTACAGATGCTGCATCTGCCACCCTCATAGTCTCCGCGCCCAACGCTGTGTCTGCCGTCCTCACGAGCCCTACTACAGATGCTGCGTCTGCCATCCTGACGAGCTTCGCGTCCAACGCTGCGTCTACCGTCCTCACAAGCCCTGCTGCAGATGCTGCGTCTGCCATCTTGTCCGTGCCGGACGCTACGTCTGCTGCATGCTGGAACTCCACACCGCCAGTCACAGAAACAAATTTCTCAGGTATATCGCTCCAAGATGTCCCCAGCACATCTTTTGCGACTGAACTCAACAATAATGTTTCACCTATAATGGAATTGTCCAACGAACTATCAAGTATTTCAAACTCCGCGCAAAACTTTGTTCAATCTTATGTTTCCCAACAACCGTTGGACGTTCTTCCAGGTACATCTTTGGGAACCGACGCTAACAATAAATCGTCCTCATTTAGAATCACCCGTCCAGCAAAGAAACATTCTTATTTAGATTATATGTCAGACGATGAGATAGCTTTGTTAAATTCCTTTGGCGATGCAGGAAGCTCAGATGAGTGGGAGCCGGAAAAAAACGGAAAGAAAAGGAAGCAAATGACTATTAACGTCGAAGAAGAGTTTATTGGTAATAATGCGACGAAAAAGGTTCCTAAAAATAAGAGGAAACAGGCTGCTCAAAAACGGTTATCTGGTCAGAGTTACATTAAGACAAACGGAGAAGTTGTTCAAGAAAAAAAAGTCCAACCAAACCCTTGTGCGGGTAAGAAATGTGGAAACAACTGCGGAGACATAACGGAAGAAAGAAGGATAAGCATTTTCAAGCATTTTTGGAGCCTGTCAGAACAGAGAAGAAAGGATTGAATCATTAGCCTAACCCGGAAAACTAATATCAAAAGAAAGAGAAATAAGGATTCAGAAAAACGCACGCATACTCATACAATATTACGGATGGTGAAGCTCATCGACAAATATGTCTGCAATTTTTGTGCAAAACGATCGATGTGTCACACAAATATATTTATTATACGGTTTCAACCGCCGATGAGTTTGGTAGTGCTAAACAATCTGAAAGGGGTAAAAGTGTACCTCCCAACAAAACCAGCAACGATGAAATTACAGCGGTTGAAAACTATATAAAATGTTTACCGGCAGTTTCTACTCATTATTGTAGGAAGGATAGTACTCGAACATACCTTCCATCAGAATACAAAAACTTAGCCAATTTATATAGAAAGTACAAAGAATATCGTAGCTTTCAAGGACTGACGTATGTTTCGGAGAGCATTTTCCGAAAAGTTTTCAATGAAAACTTTAATATAGCATTCCATATCCCGAAAAAAGACAAATGCCTGAAATGTTGTCAGTACGAAAATAAAACTAATCCTACACCAGAACAACAACGAGCTCACGAAGAACACCTTATTGAGAAAGACCACACATACAATCGCTACAAGATGCACAAAACTATTCATTTAAAAGACTCAGCATCCATTTGCTTAAGTTCTGACTTACAAAAAGTGTTGAACACACCGTATGGTGATAGCATGTTATTATTTTATACACGCAAGCTGGCCGTTTACAATGCAGTTATTTACGAAAATGGTACGCGCAATGTTTATTGCTATTATTGGGACGAAAGCCAGGGTAACCGCGGTGCTAATGAGATGGCTACAATATTAAGCAAATACATAACGAAGCTTGATGAACGCGGAAATATAAGACGACTTCTTCTTTATTGTGACTGCTGTCCCGGTCAAAATCGGAACAAGATAGTTCTTGCAATGCTGAACGAGACTCTGCAACGATGCAGAACTCTTGAATCTATTCAAATAAATTTCTTACTTACCGGCCATACATACATGACAGTCGATTCGGTACATGCGACTATTGAAAATCAGGTTAAAAATACCACTATCTGGGCTCCTTCCCAGTGGTATACGGTATTCCAAACAGCAAGACAAAATCCAAAGCCCTTTCATGTTGAGCAGTTAACTCACAAAGATTTTAAGAGATGGGACCTACTCGCAGATAAGTATTTCGTGGGAAATCTTGTGGGTAAAATAAGTAGAATACGAGTCGCAACTTTCAAAAAGAATCGTATATCAGCAACGGTTAAATGCTCTATGAATCCGGAAGCACCCGTGTCCTGTATTGAAATCGCCTCCAAAACAAAGTTTCTCGACTTACCGAACTGCTATCTTACACCCCTACCAATTACTGAAAATAAACACAAAGATTTATTAAAGCTTTGCTCAGACCAAGTTATACCCCAAAAATTTCAGGCAGAGTACTTAGCTTTAACTTACAACAAAAAGGTGAAAGATACTTTACCCGATACTGACATCGAAGATAATGTTGACCAGTAGTTAACTTATCTGTAACACTACTTTGTGATGACTGTGCCTTAATTTTCTTCAGGTTATTGCGTACCAAAGACCTACTTTAATTAATCTTCAGGAGATCCCTTATAAAGACTGATTAAGTAAATAATTGATTTTATTAATGTTGATCTCAATTAGCTGATAAGTTAGTCATTGTAAACAACAGACCTGTTGTTATGAGGTCGATTTGTTTGAAAAACACTAAGTATTAATAGTTCCTTTAACCTTCCTACTCTTTATAATTATTTTTACCAAAGAAACTTTCATAATAGTAGCTGTATAAGTAAATGGTGAATGACTGAACAGTCACTACGCATGACTATGCACGGTGCTTAGTTGTAAGTAAAAATAAATATTTCAAGATAATTTTATTATTGTTGCCTTGAAGGCTGTTATTATTTTGTCAAAGATCATGGGTACGTATGGTATGTTGTACTAGGGGGAGTTTTAGAAATTCTTTATTTTTGCAAGTACATTATATTATTGCATTAAGTTACTTCTTTTTTTTGTTACTATGTAGATACTAAGTACATCGTAAAAACTACTTTTTCTTTTATAATTGTTAATAAATAGTGAAAAAACGTATTTTTGTTTTCATTAAATCACAACATGAAGTATTAGGTCAGAGCATACTTATTATATAATATAATAATAATAAATGATTTATTTTCTCACCACAATATTACAGAATTATTGTACATAATATTAGAATATTACACCTTAATGTTATACTGTGGGAGACTGGTGCCTAAGCTAGGCTTTACGCCTGTATTTCAGGCCACCAGGTCTCCGCCCTATGGTTGTAATTACAATCTTTTTACCATGAACATGTACCATATTTGTAATTTACATAATGTACCTTCTTTTACTTAACTTAATATATAGAGCATTATTAATCTAGTACGAACGATGATGATGATGGTATAAGCAGTTACTTAAGTCTTACTTTAAAGGAAAATCATGTCGTTTGTTAATCTATTATTTTTAAGACGTGAAGTTTAATTCACATTACTATTTGCCCATATAATGCCGTATGTTGGATGTTCTCGTTTTCCTCTTGGTATAGAAATCTTGATGTGTGGAAGTACCACGGTACCCTTTTTTCAACCCACTTACAGTGTCGCTAATGTCTGACATCCTCACGATGTTTTTGCTATTCACCTTTTCTTGTGCTCCATTACCTTTTGGCATAATGATGTGAATCGTCACATATCCTACTTTACCCATTTAAGTTATTCTACAGCCATGTGACTTATGCCCTATTACCTCTTGGTATACGGATATCAAATGTAGCTCAGTCTTCTAAACTCTTCGTTTCTTTCTGTGTAGATGTAACTTATGCCAAATTACCTCATATTTAAAATAGGACCAATTGATCTAAGCGACATAAAATCAGATAAAACAACGTCGAATCAAATAAATAAAAAAGTCAATTAATGCTTTTATTTTTGTTGATTTTAGAGCTGTTTATATTTTTACGTTATGACAATAAATAAAAAAGTTATGTCCATTTTTCTGCAATTTCAAACTTTAAACTGCTGTCCTGAACAATTTGGTTTTTGTTGCTTATACCCTATTACCTTTTAACCGTCGATATTAAACCACCATCTATGAATAACTCAGCTAAATATAATGATGGTATAGATGCTGCGGCCTCCAAAAGTCAGTTCGTTGTGGAGTGGCAGCAGATGCGTTGTCTTCCCTTGAGGATTAAGATGGAATACGCAGTTACCAGTCAAAAAGGGTCTCCAGTTCTGTGCACTCACCATATTATGTATTTTGTGAGAGCGTGGTCCCCCCTCAGGTTTTACCAATCTGTTTGCGCTGTGGCTGCAGTACAGCTGCAGCGTGGCTCGACCACGTAAAAATCATATTTATAAATGGAAATGTTGTCCCGTCTGTGTCGTAAGAGGTGACTATGATAAATTCTCCGCGCTTAACTCTAGCTCCCAGTCAATCCGTTGAATTTATTTTCATCGTGATCTGCCACATCTATAAAAATTCTTCGCAATCAATCAACCGCCAAGCTTAGTAAGACAAGGAAATATCACAATCTTGACCTTAATTCTTAGACGTTTCTCTTTATTACCAGACCGGATATGTTAGGTCTGACAATGTATGTTCTGTTTATTCCAGCGACTGGCACATATCCATATTTCCCGGTATTTCCCTTAAAGTTTTCATTAAATTACATATTTTTGTAATTTAATTAAAATACAATTTTACTGTGAAGTGTACCGTCCTTTTTTTTTTTTTTTTTTTTTGCGGATGGAAAATCATCTAATGACCCCTTTCGCTCTGGGTGGAGCGTAAGGGAGTGTCAGACTTTTACTGACTAAAAACCATCCGTGTTCCTTCAGTGCCCTTACGTTCCGGAGCCGCGGTATCTCTTTCGAACAGCCCGCAGCCCCGGCAGGCGTCGGCCCTTGCGGGCCCCTTCACGCTGCTGACAGCTCTTTGAGGCGCTCGTGGAACAAAACGCGCCGTCGACACGGCCTGTCGTCATTAGACGGACGGACGACGAGCTACCCATTGCTCGCCGTCCACAGGCCCGCGCCTACGGTGGCCGGGGGCCACGACGTAGCCCCCCGACGCCCGGGGCGTCTCCCGCGGTGGCCGGGGAGGGAAGCTGCTGCTCTCTCCTTCTCCCGCTCCGCCACCTCCTTCGCTAGCATCACTGCTTCGCAGAAGGTGGTGACGGCATCCCATTCCGTCTCGCTCCGGACCATGGCTTCGACCAGGGCCGGACGCGAGGGTCGCCGCCGCCTATCGCCGCTACGAGGACACGGCGGTGCTCCGCCCAAGCAGGGCACACCTCCACGGTGTGTTCCACAGTGTCCTCTGGTCCATCCTCGCAGTGGGAGCACCCGGGCGTTTCCTCCCGCCCGATTCGGTGCAGGAACCTCCCGAACACACCGTGTCCGGTGAGGACCTGCGTCAGGCGGAAGGTGAGGATGCCGTGGCGTCTCTCAAGCCACTCCTCAAAGAGGGGTCTTACCGCCGCTATAGTGGCGTGCCCAGCACGGGGTTGCGACAGTGCTGTCTCCAAGGTCGGCACCCGGTGATACCGGAGTGCCTCCCTAATGCAGCTCCAGGGCATGGAGTTGAAGGCGTTGGCGATGTCGAGAGACACCGCCAAGACCACCCCCCTCTGGCCACTGCATCCCCCGTCGTGAGGGCTCTCACGCGCATGATGGCGTCCACCGTAGAGCGCCCCTTGCGGAAACCAAACTGGTGTTCCGCAAGATCCGGCCCCGTCCCCGCAAGGTGCTCGGCGAGGGCGGTTTGCAATGACTCTTTCAAAGAGCTTGCCCACCACGTCGAGCAGCACCACGGGCCGGTATGCGGACGGAGAGTCCGCAGGGCGCCCCGGCTTCCGAATGAGGACCAGCTTCCCCGTCTTCCAACGAAGCGGGAATTGGCCTCTCTCCAAGCATGCGCTTAGGAAGCCCCTCCAGTCGGGGCCCGAGAGCCTCCGAGGCCAGGACCCAGGCTTTGCCAGGCAAGCCATCGGGTCCTGGGGGCGGTATTCCTGGCCTTGAGCCTACGTACCGCCACTCTCAGGTCTACCCTGGTCCCTTCCGGGATGTCGTCGTCGTCGTCCTGGTGGTCCACTTCCGGCACCGCAGGTGGCGGAGCCATAGGCGGGGGCGGATGTTCCCGTCGCGCAGGGAACAGAGCGCTCACCACGTCCTCCACGAGCTGGGGCCGGAGACTTTGCGTCAGCGGGGGGCCCAGGTGCGGAGTTTATCCCGCACCATCTTGTAAGGGCGCCCCCACGGATCTCTGTTGAGAGTCTCCAGCATCTCCTCACGGGCCCGATCCCGGGCCCGCAGGACAGCCTCCCGGAGGGCGGTCTTCGCCGCTCTGTATCCCTCGTACAGCTCCGCCTCAATGGCTGCCGCATTCGGTGGACGAATGCGGAGCCTGCGATGCCTGGTGTACAGGTGCCGCGCGGCGACACACGCCTCGCGCAGAGACGTCAGCTCACGCGACCACCAATACACTTGACGCCGGGCGCTTCCTGGCCGGACGCGGGGCACGTCACATATCTCGGACATGGCCTCCTGGAACCACCCTGCCTCATCATTGACGTCGGCAGGCCTGTCCGGTGATGACACCCAGGCCTGCACGATCGAGGCTTCCAGGAGGAGCTCCCGGTCCAGCTGCTTCAGCGCCCAACGCGGACCACTCGGGGCCTGTTGGACTGGCGCGCTCGAGGGCTGGGTGGAGACATCAAACCGGATGTACCGGTGGTCGGAGTAGGTCTCCACCCCCACCATGACACGCCAGTCAATGGCACGCGGAGACAGAGCGGGGCTAGCGAACGAGATGTCCACCACCGACTCGCCCTGCATCCGCACACACGTGGGGACAGAACCCCGATTTAGGACGACCAGGCCTGTCTCCAGAGCCCAGTCTTCCACCATCCTACCCCGCACATCTGTACGACGAGAACCCCAAGCCGAGTTCTTGGCATTGAAGTCCCCGAGGACAAGTACGGGGAGGGGATAGCTTCCGACGACGACTGCTCTCAGCTCTGCAAGAGAGTTGTGGAGCTCGGCGAGAGATCGGTTCGGGGAGAAGTACACCCCCACAACGACGAACTCCCGAACCGTTCTGCTACGCACCCCCGACCCCTCCTGACACCTTCAAGGGTCGGGGTACCGGCGGCGGCCGAAGAGATGATGGCCACTGAGCCGTTAAGGTCCGCCACCCAGTCCTCCCTAGGCCATACAAAATACGGCTCAGCGACCACAGCGATGTTAATCGACCACTGCGCCATGCTCTGGAGCAGCAGATCCTGAGCGCAGGCGCAGTGGTTTATATTCGCCTGGAGGAAGCTTAATGGGGCCGTTATAGGTCCATTCAGCTTCCTCCACGGGCCCTCTGCGGGCGTCGGTGTCGTGGCGGCGGCGGCGGCGAGGCAGTATGGTGGTGGCGGTGGTGGCGTTGCGGCTGCTGCGGAGGCCACAGAGGCGGTG